TCCCGCCTGGGGCCGTGGAGCAGCCCAGCAGGTATCCAGCACCAGTTACTGGAGCCCAGGGCTTGCGGCAAACCAGGGAACACCCTAAACTGGCAGTCGTGGTGCACCTCAAGGACGTCAGATCAAGTCTGCACCGTACCTAAGGAAAACATGGGGGCTTTTTGGGTTTTTTTTGGTTTTTAAGGGGTTTGGTTGGGGTTTTTTTGAAGCACAGTATAATAACAGCATGTATTCAAGTACCAGCCAGAAAGAGAAACCAGGGAAAGGCCATGGTGTAACCGGAGCTAACAGTGCAAAATGTATACAGCAGAACCTCCCACTCAGTGATACGATTGTCACTACATGCTTCTGCCAAGGCAAGGCTGTATTGGGTTTGCGTAGCGAGGTCTGGGTAGCAGGGGGGGCTTCTGTGAAAAGCTGCTAGAAGACCCCGCTGTGTCCGATAGAGCCAATGAGAAACGTCTCCAAGATGTACCCGCCGCTGGCCAAGGCCAAGCCAATCGCAGTCATATCGTCTCAGTGACAGCATGTTTGAGGAGGGGAAAAAATCCCCCGAGAGAGTAGAGTCTTGCAGACAGATAGAGAGAGAGCAAGATGTGAGAGAGAGAACTCTGCAGACACCAAGGTCAGTGGAGAAGGAGGAGAAGGTGCTCCAAAGGCTGGAGTGGAGGTTTCCCTGCAGCCCATGATGAAAACCATGGTGAGTCCTTCCAACCATGGTGGGTCACGGGGGAGCAGAGACCCACCTGCAGCCCGGGGATGACCCCATGCTGGAGTAGGGGGATCCCCGAAGCAGGCCATGACCCTGTGGGAAGCCTGTGCTGCAGCAGGCTCCTGGCAGGACCTGTGGCCCTGTGGGAGGGACCCCACATGGGAGCAGGGGAAAAGTGTGTTAAAACAGTTATTTTCATCTTTACCTACCTTCTATTTCTAAGTAATCCTAAATCTCTTCTTTCATTAGCACAGCTATATCCAATGAATTTTGTCTACAGTGCAAAGGGGTTCTGCTGTGTATAATCATAATCTCCTTACTGAGCCAAAACTGTTGTAATCTCATTATATATCCAGGATGCCAACTCCTGTACTTACCACTACGCCTGTCTTGAAAAGGAGGTAATGGACCGTCTGTGTCACATCTGCAGCGTGCATTAGGTTGTGATACGGATTTTTGTGTTTGCTGTAGCCAACCTCCAGAGCCTCCACAAAGGACACCAGGGCAGAAATGGGGATCTGAGTAAAGCAGCACAGAATTAAAAACAAAATCACCTTTATTGGCTAACATTCTGAGGGGACCTCATATCTTATTTTGATAAAAGGTCCCAAACAACAGTTTGTAGTTCACAAATAACATGCTAAAACATCCTAAAGAGGCACAAGGGAGGGTGAGAATAAATCCAGGTTGCTTCCTCAAACTGCCTTTGCTGTCCCTGATTATGTCATGGATGAATCCTTCCCACACATAAACACACAAGTAAGCACACTACGAAATGCCACCTGGAAGACACATGCAGCACGAAAAGTAACAGGGAGCACTGCATTGATTGCCCCTGCAGAAATATTTCTAATTAGGCCACAAGCATCTGTCTGCTCCCCTCACAACCCACTGGAATATATCTCTGCTTTACTATTCACATTCAAGATTTTCTAAGGAAACACGTCACGTAGCAAGCCTGAGATCCTCTGTGAAAAGGAGTATCGTTTATCTGACCTCTGGCTTTTCATGCAAAATGCAGCCTGCCCATCCCATGGGCTTGCCATGCTTTTCTGACTCTAAGAATAGAACTGTGCATGCTCAAGGAAATGGAATTCAGGGGATTTCTAGCTGCAACACATGCAACCGGCAACACGGTTTTATCTGCCCAAACGACAAATACCCTAAGTGTTCATGTTTCCATAGTTAGAGGAGCACTGTTGTTCTCCTCTCGGGTATGTACCAGAGGAGGAGGCAGTGCTGACCAGTAACCTTCTTCAAACATCTCCCATCAGGCCCAGGCAGCCCTCAAAGCAGTACAGGAGCCAGAGGTCTGTAAACCCTTTTCAGCCAAAGTGACTGCGGACCCCCAGGGAGTGGAATTGCCAATGGGGGAAGGGACAGTGGAGTATTTGGGTGTGGAGAATTGTCAAGATCTGAGAGAATATTTCTGCCATCCCAATTTAAGCCTGTTCAAAGCTGGAGGAAAAGGTATGTCACATCTGTATCTGCAAACTTCTGTTAGAATTATAGAATAGTTGGGGCTGGAAAAAGGTCATCTAGTCCAACCCCTCTTCAATAAGCAGGGACGTCTTCATCTAGACCAGGTTGCCTAGAGTCCCATCCAACCTGACCTTGAATGTTTCCATTTCCAGGGATGGGGCATCTAGCACCTCTCTGGGCAATCCGTTCCAGAGCCTCACCATCCTCATCATAAAGAATTTCTTCCTTGTGTCTAGTCTGTATCTATCCTCTTTTATTTTAAAACCATTACCCCGTGTCCCATTGTAACAGTTCCTATTAAGAAGTTTGTCCCCACCTTTCTTTTTAAGACCCCTTTAAATATTGAAAGGCCACAATAAACTCTCCCCAGACCCTTTTTTTCTTCAGGCTGAACAAACCCAACTCTCTCTGGCTTTCTTCACAGGAGAGGTGCTCCAGCCCTCTGAGCATTTCTGTGGCCTCCTCTGGACCCGCTCCAGCAGGTCCATGCCTTTCCTGTGCTGAGGACTCCAGAGCCGAATGCAGAGTTGCAGGTGGGGTCTCACCAGAGCAGAGTAGAGGGGCAGAATCACCTCCCTTGACCTGCTGGCCATGCTTCTTTTCATGAATTAGAATCTGAATCCAAGCTCTCCTTTTTAGCCTGCACGCTTGAGAGTCCTGTGAACCTTAGGAGAATGACACCATCACTCCCACAGGATCAAATGAAGGATTTCCCATGGATTTCATGGGTAAGCCTGTTTGGAACCCTGTCTACTTCACCGTGCTCTATTGCAATTAAATGCACTACTCAAACAACATTTGGTCCTGCTCACTGGGGAAAGTGCAGTGTCCATGAAGCCTTCAAACAGCACTAAAATTGCATTTTGAATGGAACAAAGCAGGACGAGAGGGAAGTTGAACAAAATCCAAGATGGAAGAAGCGAGCCATCTTCTAACTACTGACCTTGAATCGGTTGATCAGATCATAGCGTGTGAGAAGTTCATAGAAAATGAATTTCAGTGCATGATCCCCACTGGCATCGTTCAGTGCAAATACGTCAAAGGACCACTTGTCGACATTCTGCAGGAGTGGGTAGAAAAGACATAGATAATGTGGTCGTCCCTTTTACAGTGATAGTTCAATTTCATTCACTTTACATCTACAAATGGAGAGTTAGAGTGACGATGCAAGTGCAGAGCTTTTTTTAACTTCTTCAATTCCATTTAACCCATGCAGAGTCTAATTTACTCGTCCCTATTGTATGATTGGTGTTTAAGAAGCTTCCATTAAGAACATCCATCTCAGAACTGGACGTTCCTGAAAGCCTATGAACCTTTCTCCTCTCCTCCTAGCAACAGAGAGAGTTATAGCTAGAGGAATGATGTACAGATCAACCACGCAGCTGCGTCTGGCACAAGACCAGCTCTCAATCTCTCTTGCCTGCTGAGAACTTTGATGTACTTCCCACAGGGATTTATCCAAATGACTCTCCTTAAACCACATGTTAAAGATTGACAACTGTACACTGAGGTTTCCCTCCACTTTCGAGCTCTGCTGCAGGTTACCTCCCCTTTCCCTGTGGCACTTCCACCGAGAAAGAAAGATGACTACATTTCACACAGGCATATGCACAGCTGCTCTCGGTGCAAGAGGGGGGGTTGGCTAGACATCATGCTGGGTACTGCCAAGGATTAGTGTCCATCTAAAAATCTGCCGTCTATTTTAGCAATACTAAAACCGTTAAATTACAATTATCTACTAAGCTCCTAAAGCCCAATCCACCTCTGTTGTTTGCTGTCATGGTCATGGTCTGGGTAAGGAGCTGACCAAGTCAGATGCGAAGGACAGTGACCTTTACCTGCCTTGCGGTCGGTCGCCCATACATCAGCACAGCTACAGGGCTTCTGCTGGCCTGAACGAGACCAACGTAATGTCTCTCTCCAGCACGGGCTGATGCCAACCACCTTGTTCCCTGCATAGTGCTGGTTACACAGCTGAGAAGCCTCTTGTGGAAGTACAGTCCAGAGAAAGGCTAACGAGTGAATGAATAATCAAGGATGCTAAAGATTCAGCTCTTCTTTCCCCTATGCCAGTAAATCACTTGCTCAGCGGTTGATATCACAAGCTGTGTGGAGCCCACACACTGAAGGCAGGGTCAAGCTTCTGCAGAGATGATTTGTGGCCCAAGTCAAAAAAAAGCAATCATAAATTGCAGCTTTTCAAAACTTTCAGTGGGCATTGGACACGAAAAACAATGAAGAGAGGAAAAAGCTCCACCAAGAAAACACCTTTTGAAGCCCTTGTACAAGCTTAGAAGATGGGCGAGAAAAATAATGCCCAAAGCATCCACTCAGTCAGGTTTAAGTATTTTCCTGTTTTTTCAGTGGTTTTGTTTTGTAATCACTTATCTCAGTCAATGAAGCAAATTAATTTAACACATGCACACATATAAATTTACTTTTGGGTCCTGCAGCACTGAAAATAATGTCTCCAGTATGCTGAATTTTAATTCACTGTAAGGCAATCTAATCTTATTTCTACAGTAGGGGTTTGTTCCTTCATATTTTTTTCCTGTAATTGATGTTGTGCTCTTGCGGCAGATAAAATTTACCAAATGGTGAAATTGCAGAATAGTACATCAGATTTGTTCTCCTGCAGAAATAACGGCTAATGACGTAGACAATAAGTTTCACAGTAGAGCTGTTTAGATGTTTCTGAGTGAGAAAGCCTTGCTCTTGTCAAGTCAACAGAAGTTTTGCTATTGACAATAATGACAGCAGCTTTTTACCCTGAATAACCAGGGGGAAAAAGCCTCTTAACAAAAGCATGAAAGTGTCACAGATGGCTTAGAGGCTTGCAGCAACACCAGTTATGCTTTGAAAACTAGTGGATTTTATGACCTTAACAAAAATTGAACACAGAAGTGACCCCTCTAATGGGGAGAGATCTAAAGGGAGGCAGAAATTCATGGATGTCTTGTGACGGAGGAGAAAAACTGTTCCTCCTCCCTAAGGAGAACAGGAGAAGCAAGGGATGAGAAACTTCCTGTGCTACACATGTCTCTAGGTCACTGGCCCTGTAGCCTCAGCTGGTGTCACCAGCTGCCTTAATATCACATATACCCGCTGTGATGTAACTACAAATAGATCCAAGGTGTCTTATTTCCCAGTCCTGCGTCCTTATTACTTAGCCATTGCTCCACTGCCTGGGGGAACCTAGAGATTAAGTGAAACACCAGTTCTTCCTAAACGCTCATTTTCCTGCATTTCTCTCTGTCCTTAATCTCAGAGACTTGATTTGTTTTATAAACTAATAAGCAGATGCAGTGATAGATGTTATTCTGCCCAACGTTACTGCAAGGTCTGACATTTTGCAGCTGCAGATGAGCAGAAGTCTATGCTGCAGCCACTGTAAGTGACTACAGGTTCTGTGTTCATCACCTCTGTATTAGCCAGCCCAGAAAACACTGCCGTGACAGAGGGGGCATCAGAAAAGGCTGAAAAAATTCACTTCTAAAGCAGCTAATTACTTTAGCAGCTAGTTAATGTGAAGTTCTTTCTCTACACTGCTGAACAGCAGATCACCCCAAATGAGTAGGTAAATTAACATACTTATTCAAACATGTCTGTGTGAATGGTATCCACAGCCCCTGTTCAAATGAGAAACAAGGCTGATGGCAACAGGTCTTACGTCATCACAGTCGTGTCGTGCAGAAAAGCAACATGCTACTTCAGTAGAAAAACCAGCATCCAGTATATAGATATGTGGAGAGATGCTGTGCAGTCAATTAAAAAAATTGCCTACCTTCTCATCCACCGAAAAAGTGAGAGCGATTATACCCCTAGGACTTGCACTGCTACCACTCAACCTGCATTTTTTTCAGAACCTGCAGCATTTCATTATTTTATTAAAAACAGCTTCATTTTGCCAAGCTGATTCCACAGCTTTGGGTTACTCAGTGCATACATCCTGTTGGCCATGGCAGCAAAAAGAGAGCACGTAGTTCAAAAATAAGCAAGTTTTGACAATATGTCATCTCAATCCTCGTCCTTATTAGGACATCCTCCGAGGAGAATGCTGATTAAGGCAATCCAGAACATCTGAAGAGATGAGTGCAGCACAACCCTTCTGCACGCTTAAACCATCAGCTCATTTCACAGAGCACACCAAGCCATCAGGTAGCTGTAAGTTTTCTTTACCTGGCTTTACTAAACTGAAGCAAGCAACAAAATGTACCTTTTTCTATTAAGGGGATGCAGCTGAGAAATTTAGATTAAGTATTATTTCAAAGACAGAAGGCTTCCTCAAAACAAGTAACTCAATATTACTTGATATTTCAGGCATATCCACTACCAACCCCAAGGCCATCCAGGCAAAGTCATGTTGTTTTTCCAACAATTTTGGAAAAAAAATACATCCAAGAATGCACAGTGGCCAAATGGGCTTTATTTCACCCTGAGCAAAATTAGTCAGTGCCTTTGTCGCTACTGACGTGTCTTAACTTCCTCTAGCATGATCAGTCCTCTTCGTGACCCTTATCATCTAAAAACATAAAAAGAGAAGAGGGACTGTGTAAGGTATAAGTCAGATGAGAGTAGCTGATGGGTCTTGGATTGCCTCGTTACTGCTGATCTCAGGAGAAGAGGTACCACTGCAGAAATGTTCCCTCATAAGCTGGCTCTGGGCTGTAGCTGTAAAAGCACAAAGACTTTAGATCCCATTTGCAGGAATGAAGCTAACACGTGTCAACCTGCACTTGGAAAAAGGTGTGGATGTATGCTGTGATTCTGTAAACAAAAGGCATGTCTGATCATTCTTCCTGCATGCAACGGACCTTCTGCAATTCCTCCACATCTTCTGATGAGTTGTCCTATCCAAACGAAAAAGGATTCAGTACCCTAACTGCAGGTCTTTCCAGCGTGGAGCAGAGCAGAAAGACTGCTTCATGAGCTTTACGCGTCATGTCCCTGAGCACTGCCCCACTGCATCCCCTTTAACCACCACTGCACTGCACTGCACGGCACGGCACAGCTGTACCACGTGCAACCTGAAAAGCTGCTGTGTAGGCAGCCGGTTGCAAACTGCTGTTTGTAGTCTTGGTAATTCCTGCCTAGAGCAAGAAACTTGCAATGTTCCCATGGATTGAAGCTTATTTTTTTCAGACTACTTCTGACTAACGAGTTTTCCTCTGAAACCTCAAAACTCATAAAAGGGTCATTATTCCTAAACTGTCTGTCACCTTGAAGACCTGAAGCTGAGCAATGCAAGAAACTCCCTTCACTCACATCAACTGATCCTTTTGTTTCTCCACCTCTCTCCACCTGTGTTTTTTTTCTTCCCTGTAGGAGGCAGTGATTGATTCCAGCATGTTTCCAAGTCCTGGGTTTAATCAATGTAACCTAGACAGAGCCGTAACCTTCACAATCTGAAAATGGCCACAGCCTTGAACTCTATTCTTTCCTTTATTGAAAGGCCAGTCCCTTAGGCCACTAAACGACTGATGTATGTGAGCTAAACTAGATGTCAGAGAGGAGGAAAGGGCAAGTATGAAGACCCCCTTATCGAGTCAAATATTGCAGCGTTATCTCGATGCTTTGTACATAAATCCCCCCAACCCCTTTTCATTGGGATTACCTTTAGCACTCCGATTACGGCCGGTGGGTAGCTCAAACCGACCATATTTGACGTCCGTCTGTACATTCTACCAAGATAAAATAGATACGACAACGCATAAATAAACTAAACTAAACAAACAAAAATCATAAGGCAGCAGACCATTACAGGAGACCTTATTTAGCCCAGAAAATCCTAACTGCAATTTGGAGGTTTTTTCCTCCCTTCTTGTTCCCAACTTGCACAATATTCTTCACACCATTCTTACCGCGTAGCCTAACTTGGCGCTACACGCTCCCCAGCATCTCACAGCTTGGTTACCTGGCAGGACATCACAGAGAATCTGGACATATCATGTCTCCATCAGAGGGAAAAGGCTACAGTCAACTAAAACCAGACGTCCCCCATTTTTCACTGCAGGTAACCAGACTGCTCTTTCAGCTCCCTTAGCCCCTGCCAGTCCACATGCAAGGTGGTTCTGAAGGTACTTCAGAAATCCTCTGTTGTCTGCAACAGATCAACTCGAGTTCGGTACAGCTGTTACTTTTGTCTGCATTTTTTTTTTAAGATTAGTATATAATCTTTTGGGTGTTTGAGGTATGTGTGCCTGAGGGAGAGCGAGAGAAAGAATAAGGCGATAATTAACACCTGCAACCACATTAAACAAAGCACTAACGTATGTAGCAGATTTTAAACCTGCTTTCAGGCCAAACTGTGTTTAACAGGCTTGGTGAATGCAGAAACACTGCTACAGCTAAAGTACCTTCCTGCAGGTCACCCTTCTTTGCACTTAAGCCAGCTCTGAAATGATGCTGTGTGAAGTCTTGCTTCACTTCCCCTTTTCTTTGTCAGCTTTTGCATTCAGACCTCAAAGAAGTCAGCCCCCTTTGGAGAATTAGATTAACCCAGGCCCCACATTACAGAATGTCTTAACCCCTCCTCCCTCCAGTCAGGAGCCCCATAGCCTTCTCTTAAGTGACAATTCAGGCCAAGCCCCTCTCCCTCAGCTCAGGAGTGCCACAACCCTCCTCTGGTGCCATATCGTGTCTGAACTCTTCCTCCTCTGGGCCACAGTGGTCCAGATCAGCTGGAAAACAGCCTTTTGCAGCCATGTCTCTGCGGTTCATTCACCTCCTTGTTGAGCAAGTCCCCCACTGAGGGTGAAGGTCAATTCACAAACGCCCTGTCAAACCTAGGAGAAACCTGTTCCGAGGACAAAGGACAGGTTTAGTCTTATCACTGTTCGCTGCCACTCTCAACACAGAGAGAAAGAAATGGCCTACAGACGTGCCAGAGGAGGCTTCTGTGTGTGTGTGGCTTGTGGTCCACCCTCTGAAAGACCCAACCTCCTGCACAGCGGGATGGGAGGCTGTCACTGAGATTCTGATGAACAGGAAAAGGCGCTCTGCTTTTCCATTCCCCACCAGAGTTCTTCTGCAGAGAGCTGGGACCTGCTGTTTTTCACGCTGCCCAAAGCCTGCTGACAGTTTCACCTGCGCCAGCCCTCCTTCTAGAGCTTGAAGGAAGAACGTCACTCGGTAAGAAAAGCTAAGACTGGAAAGTGAGTCCAAATTGAAATGATTAAATGTTTTAATGGATTCAGAAAGTGACGTCAGTTTTAGCAGTAGGTTCTGATGCAAATCACAACAGAGAAGGCTGAGAAGACTCAATGTTTTATTTTTTTAATCCTCCCTGATCACAGTTTTCACATCAGACTTGGTTTATAGTTCATTCCAGTACTATGATACAGGGTTTTCTTCTGTTTCTTAGCAGTTCTTCCTAAGAAATCCTACATCCCAGAGGTAAAAGAGGCAAGGGAGGGCTTGCTTTCAGCTGACTGAATTTTAAAAGTTGTCACTTGACCTAGGGCTATGCAGAGGTGCACGTCCCCTGTCAGAATTATTCCAACAATACTATTACATCTGTACTATGCTAAGAACAGATCAGTATGTGCTGTTTCAGCCTGCAATCTATCACTTACTCACAGGTTTCAAGGTTCTACCCAGACCTGTGTGGAAACATCACTAGAAGCATATTAAGAGTCTTCATTCAATACAACAGGCACAATCTGCACTACCTGGGCAGCTACTAGAACAAAAGCAGTTACGTGTTCCTTTACCTTTCCACAAATATCCCAGCTTGTACTGCATGGACAATACTCCTGAACCTGGGCTTTTCTTCCGTCCTTTTGAGCATCATCCCCATTTGCCGCGTGAAGGTAGAAGCCAACCAGTCCCGGACCTCCGAGGGCACAGAGTCGGACTGGATGTCACTGAGCTCATCTTCTGTGTCCAGTAAACGCCTAGAAGGGGGCGGAAAAAAAATGGGTAAACAGACTCCCTTGGAGACCACTGCACCATTATTAACAAACAAGAAACTCACATATATTATAATTAAAGCAGATGTTAAAAGTCTTTGGTTTGTCAGCCCTAATGGAATACAACTGTACTTCAACTAATTGTTTATTCTCCTGTACAGTTAAACGTCAGGTTGTGAAACTCACTACTAGGCCGACAAACAAGAAGTAGCAGCATGTGAAGCACAGCTACACAAACATCCACTGACTTCTCCTCTTCAGTCTGTCCATATTCCTGACCTTTCTGCCCTTCAGAGTTCACTTATGGCCATGTCTAACGTCCCAGTCAGTGTCATACGGTCCTTCCCTTTCCCATTCTGGTCATCTGACGTGAGGTTACAAGTGCATTCGGCACTGGGGAAATGGCATGGAACAGAGGGAGCAACTCCTCTGCAATGTCTAACCAGTCTACCATGACCTGGAGTGAATGTTTTTTTTTATTTCAAAGACTTGATACAAGTGAAGAGATTTAACACTATTCAAAAGGAATAGAGGAGTAGGGATTTAGAAACTTTCAGAAAAAGTGGGACACAATTATTACGAAAACATTTCTCCAAGAGAATATATATTAAATTCATGATTGCTTTTGATCTCCTCCCCTGCCCCAGGAAACTTAGAGAAGCTTTTAGACCCAGGACTGAAGATCTGCTCTACATAGAATACAGTATTTTAATGATTAAAAGCATATTGTCTGTGAGTAATAAATCTTGGCTAAAAAAATCCTTCCTAACTGACGTGTATATTACAACTGTGTGTTATTGGTACCAGATACAAGAAGAGTGCTGATGTCTGTCCTTAACTCACCTGGTTTCGTCAATGTAGACTGACTCAAGAACAGTCGCAGCATATTCCAAATTCTTCTTTAGGTCTACAACCGAAGCTTCCCCTCTCTCTAACTGCTTCACCAAAGACCGCAATCTGGAGAGAAGGAAAGCAGAAATCTGATTAGTATAAAAGAGAGAGAGGGTTGAGAGTGAGCGTCCGTTCAAAACCGGACCCACCATGAGACCCAATATACGTGATTGGCAGGTGAAAACTTCTGGAAGTCTAAAAGGTTCTTTAAGCCAGATACAAGAAATCAACAAGTCACTTTTCAAGGATCAGTCACAGTGATGCCAGGCAAACGCCACATCATATTTAGGCTCAAATAAGGCAGCGAGTTACAACTGTCTCCTACTTATGCTGAAATAAGTTAAAATAGGTATGGCTTGGAATTTAACACAGAAGCTAAGAGAGGGCGATTTTACTCCAGCCATAAGAAAGGAAGTAACTTCTTCAGTAGTATCTGTTGACATAGGTCGACCATTTATGATGAATGGTGAACACCCACATGCAAAATTGTGTTAATTTGGAAATACTACTGCAGAAATACTGCACAAGGTCAGGAAATGCTCTGTTTTTCACTAGAACAAGAGGTCACCCTTAGACTATCCCCCACCTATATTAAACAGAACTCATGCCAGCTTTTTTATCAGGTTGTTGTTATTATTGTGAGGGGAGAGGAGAGAGACTTTCTGAAAACAGAAATCTGTGCAGAAAATGTTTTGTGTGTCAAAGACAATTAATATATCTGTGGAATTTTCATTTGTCTTTTCCTCTCCTTCACTCTACTTTCTGTGGCAAATTAGAAAAATAAAAATGGAAGACAAAGGAGAAGAAAATGTGAAAAGAAAGAGTAAAATCTAAATATTTTAAACAACCCAAGAATATGCTTACAATGAGAAAATTATCATTCCTTTAAAAGGACAATGGGATAAAAATTTCGTATGTTAAAACATTTTTGTTAATGTCTTTATCCCTGTCAAAAAGCAGTCAGACATTCAAATATACATTTAACAGTGTAGCAGAAATCACAAGTTAATTTGTCCTGTTCAAGGTGCAGAAATGTAGAGGAGTTCGATATTTAGATATCTATCAGTTAGATATAAGTGTAGAGGAGTCAGAGGATTTAGTTATCACCTAAAATTTGTCTTCTACTTAGGAGATGACTCTTCCTCAGCTTTTTGTGTAGTCCATGGAGAACAATGACCTTTCCCACAGGGTAATTCAGGGCAAGAGCCCAATAAAGGTGCCTGCTCTCACTTCATTAACCGTAGTGGGATCCCAACCTCCTACAGCAGACATGTGCATGAAGTTCTTACAGATGAAGTGTCTGTGTTCCCTTGGCACCACAGTGCCCCTCTGGCACCAGTGCTTTCAGGAGAAAACAAGTCTCCCTGGGGCTGTATTTCATGGCAGAGCTGTGGAGTGGCCAGTCTATCCATATGCACTGCACCAACAGCTCATTCCAGATGGGTTTCCTTCCCCCTGCCTTTCCCCACATAAAAAGTCAGGCTGTGGAGATTAAAAATCATTAAAAACATCAACTGTTCCTCTGGCTAAGTCACATAAACGCCACTCCTTCTGACAGTGGTACTGCTGACACACAGCTACGTATTTAGCTTTACAAAGAATCCGCAGTAAGAGGTGGATGCTCCATCTCGAGGCAGATTAACTCATCCTCTCATCAGCGGTCAAAACCCAAAAGTACTGTTCAATACTTCATTCCTGATGTGAGAGTGGAGATGGGAAGGTCAGTGATGTACAAATACACCGAACACAACACTTCTCGTCTCTGTAAGCCAGCATTCAACTATGCCAGCATGTTTCCCTCCAGCCCTGGAGTCCAGCTCAGGGAATCCATGGAGCACCCTCAGCCCCGTGGAAGAAGAAACGAGGTTGGTGCTCCCATGCCTCTCTTCAGTGTTACTGCACCAGCAGGCACAAGCAGCAACACGTTGTGTTTGAGGAGCAGAGCCAGGAAAGGGGCGGCCCAACCTTTCAGGATGATTCCAGCCTCAGGAGGCACACGCAGAAGAGGAATTCACCTCCTCCCTAGAACCAAATCATCAATCCCTTCTACCCGTTCCCAGCTTTACCATTGCCAGTGCAGGAGGGAAGGAAGAAAAAAAACACAATCAAGTTTGTTTGTTTGTTTGTTTTGCAGGAGGAACATTATTTTTGGCTCTTCCTGACGTTTATTTCATTGATTTAAGTACCCGGCAGCTCGATGCCACAAGTCATTCAAAATTCATGTTCAATAATAGCACAGTGAGTAACGGTTGCTTCGTGGCACCAACATTCATCACCGAGGAGGATTATGCAGAGTACTGCAAGCATCGATCATTTGGAAAAACAGAAGTACAGTTGTTAGAATAAAACCTTGTCACAAGATCAGCTGCTCTCGTGTGAAAAAAAAATCACACTGCCTTTGTCTTACCATCCCTTATCGGTAACTATTCCTGATTCATTGAGTCACAGCAGCTGCTGCCAGTTACCTGCACTAAATAAGAAGCAGGTGATAGGTTGTCTTTAATGCATTCCATGTATCTCTATTTTTTTTGAAATAGTCCTAAATGCAATCATGAAGTTAAGGCCAGGCTGTCCCACTGAAGGGCATCCAGAAAAATTTATTAGCTGAAAAATTGTGTTTCAGGCTGGCTGAAGTAATGCTGGAATTCAATCAAATTCACCAAACCATTTTGACTGAAATGAAAACATTAACACAAACTTCGACCATGTTTTATTTTTAGGAGCTTGTATTAAAGCAGTGGAAGCAGAGAGGAAGATGCTGACTTCCTATCTTCACCCCAGTCATGGCCCAAGGGAGTAGGGTTCAGCCACTGCACCATTTCACAGGGAAACGCTCAGCCTGCCAGGCTACTGACTAAAAGAAACATACTGACATAATTATCATCATCAGTTTAAGGAACCCAGCTCATCATTTATGCTGCTTTTATTGTAACTGCCTGTTTGGTATGAACAAAACACTTTTTTCAACCAAGGCATGTTTTGTTCTGTTCTAAGAAGTTCATTATAGAATGATCAAAGCCTAAATTTTCATTGTTTCTTTTTTTTTGGTTTTTTTTCCTCCCTTTCCTGTCAAGTTCAGAACTAAAGATTTGCACAGATCTGCCAGACCTAGTTCCACTGAACCTCATGGAGCTAGCTGCAGGAGAAGCAGCCAATTCCCGTGCGTAAGGAATCTCAGGCCAGAAGGAAGGTGTTAACTGGTTCTAACATTAAGCTGCCTTAAGACCATGGCACATGCCACAAACGAGCCAGGCTGTAGGGCAGCCAAAAGTTTCTGGGATTACGGTCATCAGCACAGCAGGTACAAAGAACCGGTTGTTCACGCAGCATTAGCACTACATCTAGTTGTTTAATTATATTACGATACAGCTAATGCCCTTCTCAGTGAGATTTCCAAGGGAAGCTATTCCTTCAGTCTGTAAATTCTCTGTGAACATGTGCCAAACGTTATGGAAAAAGGCTGAGAGCCTTTGTTCTACTCGTACTTATTTCACATTTGAGTCCTCAGAATAATCCCGCAACTGCCCGAAGAAAAAGCCTAGTCCCGAGCAATCCTATGCATGCCAACGTCCTCTGACCTCACAGGGAGCTCAAGTAGGTGGAAAATCTTGGAAAAGGGCCAATTCCAGCATCCGGCCCTTCCAAGGGAAATCGGTATGCACCCACCATAAACACCCTGAGGGTATCAGCAAATATCCCCACTGAAGGCCGTAGAGCAATGCATTGGTGCAAAGCGTGCAGTGGGGTCCTCAGCCAAGGAGAGGGGTTATCCAACGCGTGCCCTGTTCCACGGCCCCGCTCCCGCTCTTTTTAGTGTTTCCCTGAAGGACCAGCTATGGTAAGACTCAGGGAGAGAGAAAGCAGGTGACTAGAAACCGGGCAACTGAACTCAGCCCATGAACGTTACACAGCTCAAAGACCCAAAGCCACTCTACATCCAAACTGAGTAACAGGGAAAAGGGAAGCTGTTTGCAGCGTGTTCTTGAAATAAGCGCCCCAAGCATTCTCCTCTCTGTTAAAAATAAAACAGGATCTGTGTACAAATATTTATCTCCTTAGCTAAAGAGCTGCCTTTTATCCTGTCATTTTTTCTTTTTAAAAATAGCATTACATATCACTGCAGAGGAGATTAACACCACTCCAGCGTGGACAGCAGTCAGCTCCAGTTGACATGCAAAGCACATGCATTCCCTGAATACCTGGGGCAAGTTCCGCCAACCGGTGTAGAGCCTGCAGAGCTGCCCGGCTAGTCTCCAAGTTTACCTTCAAAGCTTCATGACTGTGACCCACCACACATTTTCAACAGCACAACCCACATCTCCTCCTCCGAGAATCATTCTCATACCACTGGGCCAGGCGGGAACAAAGTGGAAGATCCCAGAGCTAGATAGACTGTGGTGATAGACTGTGGGAATCATCTTTTGATAGGTCAGTCCTAAAGAACGGCTCGGTGGGAGAAAGGAGTTGTGCTCTAGACCACAAAATCCCAAGTGGATTATCTGTCTGGGTTGTGAGTTCAAAAGTTTGCTGTAGGTATGGGTTGGAGTGAGTTATTCAACGTTCCCTGTCTCCCACCTGAGGAGGAGGAGCGGAAAGTAGATGTGGTCCACACGACACCAAGAAAAGGCTTTTGATTTGTATTTCTGCAAAATATGAAAATGTTCTGAAAAACGTGAAGAGATATGAGCAACATCAGAACTTCTCCTACCCTCACTAGCAGTGACACAGCTACCCAAAGGGAGTTACCGGCTTCCCGGCACCATAACCCCAGGATGGTGTGTCATTCCTACCTCCTTTCAAAGACATACGTGGTTTATAACACGCAAACGGAGAAAACCTTTTCAAAGCACTGACTCATCCCACAGCTCCAGCCATACGTGGGAATGTCCCTTCCCAACTCTTCTGTGAGACTTTGTTGTCAAGGACGTTTTTTACGGAGACCTGCGTTTTATGGACGCCTGACAAAAACGGGCGTATGTAGCACCAAAACATCAGGCTTCATGTCATGCTGGTTTCGTATCCCAGGAGAGACTCTGTTCTTGCTATTCCTCAAGTTTCCAAAGCTTTGGAATCAACTTTTAAAACCGAAGTCAAAGTTTCCTTAAGTGGAGAATATCCCACTGCGTTCAATGCCATGCTGACACCGAACTCCACACGCAAACAGTTTGAGGGTTCCCCGTAAACATAAAGGATCCTGTAACGTACTCTGTAAGAAATGGGGTTTGCTCACGTGGCCTATCCCTAACCTGATGAGGTAACTTTGTGCTGTTGAGGCATTTCCTTCAGGCTCAAATGTCACCCGCTTTCAGTGGAAGTGGGCATACTTGTGAAAGTGTTGCAGTTACGTACTGGATAGGAATGTAAGCTGCTACAGCCATTTAAGAAATAATTTCTACTAATCTTGCCATGATTAATGTTTAGATACATAAAATTTTCCCTAAATATTGTCAGCACTGATTTCAGTACAGGACACTGCTCACAGTCCTGCTCATCACAGAGGTTCATGAGCAACAACCGGCACACACTGAGATCGACCCCAGTTACGGTAAGGTCCTTCATGAGTTTTCTGCAGACAAGAAGAACATTATTACAATTAGACCTTAGTGTGGAACACTTTCAGCAAAGCCTTGTCACTCTGACTCTGGGGGCAGGAGTAAGAGGCACCTTCTGCTATCAGTCTGTGTTTGTGTGGCTTTTGTTAGTCAAATCCCCCTTACGTAATTAAACCCCAAGAGAATGGTTTCAAAGACAGCTCATTTATGATAAGATTCTGTTGATAGCCAGCTCAAATTGCTTTAAAAAAAAAAATCAAAATAAATAAATAAAATCAACCAAAAGCTTTAGAAGTCAACAAAATAATAATCAGATGTAGACCTGATTGCATAAATGCCAGCTTCTGCTTAGAGACAGAAAAAGACAACGGGTCGCTCCTACAGGCTGGAAAGTTTTTAACCTAAAGACAAAATCCTGCCTTCTGGTCCATAGTACATTCCTAACCCTTCTCTGGAAAACCACCACAACTACTGGTAGGAAATTCCTTAGGAAGTTTGAGAACAGATGTTCACTGTGCAGTAAACCACATCCCTATTCAAAAATAGCTACCCAGAAATAGGTGTGCATCTGCCATCTCACCGTAACATGCAAACTCCATCAATCTGATATTCCGGAGACAGATCCGAGTTAGGGAGCACGTGCAGGGCAGCTAAGCAGGGAGCACACAGGTCTGCCAGACGCCCCCTGACAGCATCTGCCTGCCTGCCAGGGCGCACAGAAGCTGCAAAGCGAGTGCACAGGGTATGTAACGCTGCCCAGAAGCGTCCGGAGCGGGATGAACGCGGTGACGCGGCACAACCCACGCCTTCAGTTGTTTCAGCTGGGTGGACAGACGCCTGCACAGTCGGCACCGCAGACCCTTTGATGCTCCACTCAGGCAGTGGCTTGGTGGGAAGGGCACAGCACACACAGAAAGGAATCCAGGAGCTCACCGCATGTTTTCACCCCGGTCAGCAGGCACCATTCATTCCACAGTCTGCCACATCTCAGCCTAAAGGCTCTGCGTATACACCACGTGTGAACCACCGGGGAAGAGACCCAACGGAGAAAGCCAGCTCCAGCAGTAACCCTCAAAACACAACCCAAAAGAGAGTAACTGGTGGCCTGTGACCCAACGGATTTGTAATAGGCTTGATAGCTATCTTCTGTCACCGCTTTTGTACAGAAAAACACGAGTGACGACATCCAGAGGAAGAAAAAATGTGTTTGCAAGGAGAAATCACTGAAACAGAGCATTGCTGCACTGGCACTTTTCATCAGAAGGCATTACAAGTAATTTTGCAAGTAACTGTTTTGCCTTCCTCATTTTTCCTGAAATACCCTTTTTCCTTTGAATAAAAATTAAGAAAAATGGAAGCAATCAGTTAATTTTGTATTATTTAGAAGCATGAAAATGCAACAGTGATAAATTCAGTGGTCTTGGCAGGACGGTGAACAGGTTGTTTTGACACCCCTTAAAGTCAAATAAGCTTTTCACCAAATTAGCCAACTACAAGCAAAATCGAATGTAGCTTACGTTTTCACTTCACAGACATAAATTACTTCATGCCCATTACAGGAAGGGAAGTCATGTGCCCCAAAACAGCAGCAAACTTTGGCTTAGCAGAGGATTTTCATAAACCAACAGCCTAAGCAACTCCTCAGCACCAAGTCTCTGAACTACCCTTGTCTCCATCGCTGGCCGCTGAAAACTTCTGACGGGCCATTCTCTCCTGACCCGCCAACACTCTCCTCCTCCTCAGGTTGTGAACTCTGGGAACCGAGTCTGAAAACTTCAGCAGTGAAGAGCCTCAACGCGGGAAAAATTTTGATGTCAGTGTCTTTGGTGATGAGGTCACTGGAAGGCTTGATTCTGGGTCTTTTTTCATTCAAGTCAACCACCTCACCTCACACTACCCTGTTACAGAAACCAGGCACACGGATGCTCATGTGAGTCACTGGAGATGGACAGCCAGGATGAGTCATCTTCAAAAGCTGCCTGACATACTATTTCCTCGGGAAAGGGTGCACTGCCTTCTTGGGGTGCCTTCCTTGCCCCACTAGCAACAGAAATGAGCCAAAAGATGAGCTTAGGCCGTCACTGCGGTTTCAAACAGCTAACATGAGGTGAGGTGACTTTTTCCACTGAATAAATCGAGGGCTGCATGAGAGTAAATTTCAGATGTGGAAGAGAAAGGAACACAGCTATATTCTGCTTTCACACCCAGACACCTTCTACCTGGTGTTTCCCAACGTAAGCTTTCCTTTTGGTGGACTACTTCTTTTTGGGATGCTAGCGTGAGTTAGTTTTTTGGGGAAACCACAGGACTGCTGAACTTGTTGAAAATGAGATCCAAAGACAGCAAATGAAGTCTACCAGAATTGAGTCTTTCCCAATCACTGGTACCTTTTATAAAGAATGACCTCAGTTATAACGTCAGCCACAAATCTAACCATTTTTAATTTGCATCTTTAAAAATAGGTACCTGAAATGAACCACCTAATTTGGCATATGAGGCAATGAACACATACTGTCAGTTTAGTGTTGATGCATCCAATGACACACCGCCTTTTGTTTTCCACAGAGGGAATCTTTTCCTTTGAAACCACAATTATCACATCTCTGGGTGCCTGAACAAGGTCATTCTTCCAAACGATGCTAGCAGACTGCTCTGTGCAGATCTGAGTGTCAAAGCCCCATGCTGACTCCCTACCTTATGCTCACTGCAGAGATGGGGGACAAGTTCAACTGAGAATTTCAAAATAGTTCATTGTAACCTTAGTTCTTCCCCATCTGTTCCCATTAAAACATCGACGGGCAGAACGGTTTGCGATTAGCTCATTCCTTCCCGTTCCTAAAATGAGTGAGGTTCCAGAGCAGCTTTGGGGAACCCACAGGGCAGTCAGGCGAGTGCGGATCAGAGCCCGCAAGCAGGGTGAAGGTCAGGCAGGAATACACCCTGCCTGCTCCTCAGAAATGAGCGGCAAGCCAAGGCAGGAGAAGTGGTTCCCGGGCTGCTCCCCTTCAGACTGCCTTCAGCCACCGCCGCCTCCAGAGGCATGGAAGACGACCCCATCTCCCTTCTGTCCCACCAGCCGTGGCCAGAGACAGGCACAGATCAATGGCAAATTCCCCTGTGACCTCAATGCTCTTCCCAGGGTTTGGCCAACCTCTGCTTACTCTAGCAGACTCCTAAGTTCCTCTAGGTCCTGGGGGCAGCTGCACCCTCCTGAAGCCATCATCACTGACCCCACAAGAGGCAGGCCAGCTGACATTAGCCAAAGATTTCGGGCTACCTATCAATGTGGATTCAGAATGCTTTTTTTTTTTTTCCCCCACAAATGGCACATTTTACACAGCTGCTCGGTTAAATTTTTGCTTTGATCAAAGGTAACTCATCGATAAAACATTTCACATTTTGCTTTATTCTAAATTGGCATAAATGGCAAATACTCAGATTTCTGGTTAAAAACGTCAACAATCTCCTTTACATTTAAAGGCTTCTACTGTTCCTTGGTAGATTTTGGATACCAGGCACTGAGGTTTTAGACACATTTAAGATGTGGATCCTCACTTTTCTGCTTCTAATTTCCATTCAGGACAACACAGTCACCAGGAATATTACAGAGCCAATTGATTGACATTAGTTATGCAGCTGATCTGCTGGTGTAAAACACAGAAAAATGAGCTGAGCCAGTACTAAAATTTTACTTATCACCGTATTAAAGCTCTGCGGTGCACTTTTTGTAGCCTGAAGTAATCCCTCTGAAAGTTCAGGAGTTCACCACGCTTCTCTGCTAATACCAGCATGTGCCTTTGTGAGTTCAGATACTTAATATGCCCCTTCTCAATATACAATTTACTCTTTCAACAAATACTGTTAAAAGCAAGCTGTTGTTCTCCTAAAACCCACAAAGGCTGCATTAAACTGCGAAATCATGTCCCTCTTGGTGGCTGTACGTTGGCCAGTCTATACTTCTACAAAAGAAGCCCATCCTTGCTACCCTTAATTATCTTTATTTCGAGGGAAGCATTCCCAAAGCCAGTAGTAAACATTCCCTGACTTTCACCAAATGCTGGAAAACCAAGGCTGTTGTCAACTTCCAGCTGCACATGGGGAAAGTGTTGAGGTAGGGATTTACTACGCTGGGAATTTTTAGGTATCTGGGCACTATCAAGAGAATCACAGTCCTTGGAGAAAAACGGCAAGAAGAGGCAATTACAAAATGAAAGCTGGAGGTTACCCAGACAGAAACTGCTACAAAAAATAGGTCAGATTTTTTTTGCCACGATTTTTTTGGAATGTCATTATTGAGAATACTTCTCCACAGCAATTTTTATTGATACCCTGGAAGTTTGTACTTTGCGCTACAGACTTCTTCCTTGCCCGATGACCAGCCTAGCTAACAGACCCAGGTGTACTGTGGCTAACCACTACCAGCCTTTCAAACCTGCGTGTTTGCCAATATGCACAGGAACTGGGTGTACCCCAAAACCACAATCTGGCTGCTGCAGCACTGATGGCTAAACTAAGTTCAGGCGAATGGAAATTTCTGAGCCATGCACATTTCTCCAAGACTACACGTCCCATTGAGAAATAAACCCCAAAAGGGTATGCAAGCATCCCCCAAAGCCCAACCTAAGAACGCATCATGCACTTTTGCTTGGTGGAATCTTAGCTCCTTGTTTTAATTGCAGTAACTCACCTCTCCTTTACTGAGCCATAAAAAAGCAGCTGGAATGGCCCCTCCAGCTGGTACACATTCCCAATTGCAAATGTTATCGAAAAACCTCAATGTTCCACAAAATACATATTCAGCAACCAGATGGGTCAAAAGTGCAACTAGCCAAATTTGGAGCACCAGCTCGGGAAATGACCTCTGGGGGTAAAGAAACTTTTGAAATGAATGGCCCGTTCATTGTACTACGAAACAGATGAGCAGGGAGAAATGCAACAATGCAAAGTCTGCACTAAAAATTGTGAAAAGAAAACTGTGTGCAGCTGACAAAATGGTAGATTTTAGGAAACGCTTTCCATTCATGGCTGTTCGTGTAAGAAGGAAAAAACCCACCAATGGGGATTTCCTGCGCGCACGCAACGGAACACAAACAAAGCCCTTCAAAAGCATCTGTTTGAAATAACCCAAGGTTAGAAAGAGCAGCAGCACTAAAAATGTCTTTGAACAGAGATAATAAGAAAAAGCTGCAACAAAGAACAACAGGAAACTTAAAGGCCATTTATTAAAATAAACTCCTCATGTATATCATTATCGTGTTCAAGGGCACATGCCGCTGTTCCCTGCCTGCACTGCTGGATTCCGCATGCCACGCAGGAGTGTTATCAGCCTGCATGGATCTGCAGCCCAGTCAGCTTGGTTTCCTGTTGTAGAGGCACTGAGCTTTTAAACATCACTGCTTAAGAAAATGAGGCTGATTCAACCTGTCTTTCCATCTCTAGAGACCACTGAAACTGTCACTCAATTTCAAACGACGCCGAAGAGATTTCTAAAACATTAAGTCAGTACCCATGGCATGACAATAATGGCCAATGCACATGCCCAAACCCTCAATGAGGAAAGAGCAGCATAACCTCTCCACGGTGTCAGACAACAAAGAACCTGAAGAGAGCCTCAGCTCCAACACAGAAGAAACCCGACTTCAGGAGTGCCACACTTGCAACGTTAAAAGGCTCAGGGGGAGTATAGTACGGTCACTCCTCCCTCCCTCTCCGCACCTGGACGAAACCAGGCTACCCAAGTCAACCTACGTGCCAGGTTCACACATTTGAAAACAGATAAAGAAGGAACGGTAGAGAACTTTCCCCCATATTTGGAAATTTGCTTTGAAAAGCTGCCTCTAAAATTACTGCTGACAAACAGAAAGGCTGAGAAAAATCATAAAATGCCAACAAAAGTTCTGCTGCCAGAAAAACTGCCCACAGAATTCACGTTCATGGATTAAAACTAAGGGGGGGGGACACACACGACTGTTGTTGAATATTGTGTTGTTTTGGCTTAGGATTTACACAGGTCGAGTCATAACTGATGCTCTGGAAGTACACCAAAAATATTCCATTTCATATGGTATCCCTCAGCTTCGACCCACATAACATGACTGATACAAGCTCCTGGAGTTTCTTTCCTACGGAAACATCGCTCACTTTCCAAATTACAAAAGTACAAAGTCACATTTGCAATATTTTCCATCTTTGACGCTTTTTCTAAAACTGTCTAAGATGAGATGCACAGGAATTCAAACACTGGAGCAGAAAGAGAGCTAGCCCCGTAACCACTAACATGAAGTAACTGTTGAGGAGGAAAAAAGGAAAAAAGTGAATAAAAACAAAGCAACAAACTTCAGCGAATTTAAACAAACTTGTAATACTTCTCTACCCTTTGCAGTGTTGAACAACCTCTGTAAAATAAGACTTTGTTAACATTCTAGGAGGTAACTAGTCAAGAAAAAGCTCTTTGTAAACATTCAGCCTTACACTCTTGGTAGCATCAGGGGCGTGTGCACAGTGAACACATGAGAAAACGTTATCTGAGACTCAAAGGAAGAGCGCTACATAGGCCTTTCTCAAGTGGTGTTGGGAAGGAAGAGGCTAAAAGCCATGCCTGCGCTCTTCCCAGAACAATTTGAAAAGGGGCAGCAAACCATGTGTGGAAGCCCAGAATTAACTACAAGCCAGACACAAATCCCAATTTCTTTACTTAGAAAAGCACT